TTCCAAGTATGCATAACCACATAATTGGAGAAATTAATTTGCTTTTATTCAAAATTTATTATTTCAATAGTTTTTTTTTTTCGTGAAATTAGAGATGTTTGTATTACTAGTCCAAGTCAAATATGCAATGTATGTTATATATATGTACATGTTTTGATTGCCACTTCCAGGTGGAATTCTCAAGAATCTTTTGTTCTGGACTTCTGGTGCTTTTTTTACACTTGAAGTTCATCTCTTTCAATCCTCCAATAAGAGAGTCCATTCCTCAATGAATTAAGGAAGTCGAGTGTTTTGAATTCTCGAACCTTTAATGTTTTTCCAGCAAGATCAATATGAATAGATCAATGTCCTTGGATCTCTCAAAATATGTGAGGTAGCAACATCTAAAAAATTGTTCATGACTTCTGTATTTATAGTTGGGGGAGAGTAAGTGTCATGAGTTGTGTAAAACTCTTCAAATCGTGATCTAAGGTTTGGCCACATAACACTGTCGCTCAAATGATGAGGGGTTACAAGCAAATGATGAGCTTCCTGTTTTTAACGCTCGAACTTGACAAGTAGCTAGCGAAAATTTAGCAAGTTTTCTACCTTGTTCCAAATTCAAACCCTAGCCTAAACCATCTATACAAATTGCAACCCAAATCCTTGACGTTTTACACATGACTAAGTAAGTCTTTTTTGTTCACGGAATTGTCAATTATAAAACTGGGCCTAACACCTGTGTTATTCAATCGCAGTCTCTCTGCCTCCTCCTCATTTCCTCGAACCTGCATGTGTCCCTTTTTATTTTTGTTTTGTATATTTTGGGCCCTCCAATTACACAATTTGCCGACAGCCGTTTCTTTTGATTCATAATTTGATTGGCACGTGGCTGTTGTTTGCTTTATTAAACTCCAATTAATTGCTTGCATGGTCCTTCATTTTATATTGCTCTGCAAGTCCTCAAACGAATGCCTTTCTTTCTCTTTAATTCCACTTTTCTACTTCATTCTTACAAAACCAACATATATTAATTAGCTAATATTATTCCATAAAATTGATTAACGAAATTAAGATTTAAGAAAATTATGTAATAAAATTACACACACACACACTCTCTCTCTATAATATTAATGACCACACCAAGAAACAATTTCAAAATCATAATACGATAATATTAATGACACTATCTTTGACATTCCGCCCTGTTGACACACAAAAAGTTCAGCCCAAATCGAATAGCTCAAGGAATGAAGCCTAATTGGAAGATTCCCAAAATCAAATAGCCCAAAAAACGACTCAGTCAGGCAATGCAAGATAAAGGCCCAAATAAGGAAGCCCATGAACGCGGAAATACCATCGCCCAAAGTTGCAAGTCGCCCAAGATTTGAGCGAATGAATGGCCATACAGTCGCCCAGAGCTGTGACTCTGCTCTCGTCCAAATATTCAAGTCGCCCAACATCTTAGCAAACATAAGAAGTTATGGTTACACAAAAGTACAGTTAATGAAGCAGTTATTGGGTAGTCCTATCACGTTCCACGATTCAAGGAATTCAATTGAAGACGGTTGAACGACAAAAGTAGTGACAGCAGTTAGAGAAGACAGTTCCATGACAAGTTGGCCACGACAAGGAAAGTGGACAGTTATAGAGCGATCAAGCAGTTTCTTAAGCAGTTGATCACGAAGAAATCACTCAGGGAGTATAAAATGAAGAAAAGACATAGAGCAAAAGAACCGGAATCAAATACTCTCAAACAGAGAATATGTAACTTTCAATTTCTTAGTTTAAATTTAAACACTTCTTTTACAGTAACTCATATGTTTGTGCCCCTTGGAAGCATTCTGTTTTTATTTTCCAATTGTAAAGTTATAACCAATAAAAACGCCCCTTTTCAGAACTTTGTTTCAAGAGGTTTGTCCCTTACACAATCGTCTGATCCTCTTTTAAATTGTTAGCGACTAACCCGCGCGAAACACGCCCATTTGTCGAAAATCTAGACATTGATTAGAAATAGTATTGTTAAAATTAATGTATAAGAACTTGCCAATACAAAGGATGTCAAACTTGATGTTTAAAAAAAAAAAAAAAAAAAATTACATGTAGCATTATGTAAAAAATAATGTACATTCTTGTGTACATCTTTCATGACGTTATCATCTATGTGGCACAATTTGGACAATGGTATGAAAGAGTGTTGAGAAAACCAAAGGCTATAATAGTGCCATGTGGAAAATTATAAAACTTAATGTAAGGCAAAATGTACACGTAGCATGTTATCATTTTTATACAAATAAGATAACACAAATAGTTTCTCCAAAAACAAATTATCAGTCAAAGTTAAAAGCAAAAATTTAACTGTGATGAAGAACACAATCATATTTTAATTGATTTTTCACAGAAATACTAAATATATATTTTATAATTAAAACTTCGCAGCATGTTTTATGGGAGATAATAATCCAAATGATCATTGAACTTTGCAAAAAAACTTCAAGGGATCACTAAATTTTAAAAATCACTTAAGTCATCACTAAACTTTATGAAAGGTTTCTATGGGGTCACTGAACTTTAAAAATCACTAATTTCGCCACTAAACTTTGCAAAAAAAATAATTCACGAGATCACTAAACTTCTTAAAAGTTTTTCCAGGAGTCACTGAATCCAGTTACCCTTGGAAAACATTTTGCAAAGTCAGTGATGAATGTTGTGATTATTAAAGTTCAGTGATCTCGTGAAAACTTTTTGCAAAGTTTAGTGATGATTTGGATGAATTTTAAAGTTCAATAATCCCGTGAAAACATTTGCAAAGTTCTGTGACCATTTGGATTATTATCTCTGTTTTATGAAGAGACGCAATCGTTCAGGCTGCTCACGAGACAGTCTTATATGCTGAAATTCGACTTTTTTCTTCTAACTTTGGTCATCAATTTCACATCATTCGGAAAAGTGATTTTGAAATTTCAAATATACTACGATCATCTACTCGACAAGTGAAACAAGTTAGTCTATTCACTTACATGATTTGACTATCGAAACCTATCCAAATATTTGATTGAAGTTAATAACAAATCAACTTTCCTTAATTTTACTTGATCAAATTTAAACCAAATTCCCACTAACAAACTCAAGTCAAAATGATGAAAAGTCGGTGAATGATATCCGACCCTTTTTTACTTGGTTACTATTTCGTTTGGGATCGGCTATCTGCAAGAATCTCTTGACTACAACAAATCGTTTGGGATTTACACGTGTTTTCCAAGATTGTACCAAATATAACCAGTTGCATTAATTTAATCTCAAGTAGGATGCATTTTTTCTTTGTCGACCCCACAATAAAATATCACATAATTGGAGAAATTAATATGAATTGCAAAAATGATTTAAAAACTAAAATAAAGAAATCAATTAAACAAATAAGAGAAGTGAAGAATTAAAATCAATAAGGGATGAAAAATTGGAAAATTTCAACCATGTGAAGATTTGAAGGCAGAAGAGTGGGTGGGACCCTTTGACGTTTTATTGGGTGAAGGGTTAGGTAATTCATTTTGCCAATATGGTATTGCAATTTCTTGGGGAAGGTTTTGGGTCGAGCGTACGTCACTGTCCTTAAATATTTAATATTAGATAATTACAACATTATTCTTTCCACGTCGAAATGACTTTGTTTTTTTCTTTGAGAGATTCTATGATGCAATGGCCAATGGGCCAACTTCTTCACACAAACTCTCGATGCTTAAAAGGTTGACAAATGAGATTAGATTTAATTGATTAATGAAACGTATAAAAGTATTATTATATTTTCATTTTTCAGGCTTCGATCATTTCTCTTGTCACTATAATAATTGTACTGTTTTTAAGAACAACGAAGATTATCAGTTTTCAGGGAACATTTGCACAAATATTTGGTTAATGCATCCAATTTATAGGGATGAATATAATATTTAAATAATATATTTGTGGTGTAAGTTAACAGTTTAAATTTTTATATTAAGTAATTTAACGTGGTACAAAGATCGTTAATTCTAGTTTCATCATCAATAATTGATTAGAAAATGTGCAGTGTAAGATTTTGTGAGGTATAAAATAAAGACAGGGCGCATTGAAGATAACACATTGCTCAAGCTTTTAAGTCAAAATTGATTAACAAAAATATATCGCTATGCAAGGTCAAAAACGAACACACAGACTGGATCCAATTGACGCAGAAACTTCTTTCTTTTGATTGGCTATTAATTAGATTACCATCCTTTTTGTGAAAGAATTAAAATGAAATTCTTTCTTTTTTCACGCATGCATGCATGCATGCATACATACATACATACATATATCAAAAGTTTCGCCACCTCTCAATCTAGACTAATGCCCCTTAATATTAAAAGGGGCTGTGACTGAGGTTAGCGAAACGGGGCTGTGACTATGGTTGGCGAAACTTGAGATTTATCTCAAGCTTCTTCATCAACTTAGTATACAATATTTGACTTTCTTCCCTCCCGTCCCGTCTGATATCCATATGAAGGGCACGACGAGCGAAAATAGCCCCAGAAACTCACAAAGCCCGGCTCTCTGCAACAGGTAAAACCATTCTCTCAAATCGGACTGGTGTGTGAATCTAGACCTGTAGCCTTCTGTTCCGAAATCTTCTACCTTCATTGAATTTGCTTTTACTGTTGAATTTATACTTGACGGCTTCATCTTCTATGATTAGTCAGTTTTGTACTATAAAATTGCATTATATATAGATATATATACTGGAATGATCGATCGTGTTCTATTTCATGCCATGATTTTCACTTAAGTAGATTCAGAACCATCTTACTTCGCTTAAACATATTTTCCCCCTAGAATATTCTGTCCACTAGAAATCAAAATTCTCAAACCACGTTGCTAATAGTTCAATCTCTCCATTTACGAAAGCATAGAATTGTGAATTTTGTTTATATTACATACAAAAATTATGCTAAATAAATTCTTGTTGCTTTCTCAATTTTTTCATGGTGAAATTGCAGGTGGCTATAGCAATGGGGTTTGCACTATGGAATAACAATACTGTATCGTGTGACGACTTCTTGAAGCCTAAGACCCCAGCCTTGAGGTGGAAGCGCATCATTATGAATGCTTCTAAAGTATGACAAAAATCATTCTTATTACTATTTTGGATTAGTAATTATTTATATAAAAGAAATTCGAAAAATTTTAAGAAAAGGGGAAATATAAATAATGGAAAATTAACAATCCAGTAGCTTCAATAGATAGTCACTGCATTTGAAGATTTGTCTTTTAACTAAATACATGGACAGGTAGGCAAGGGTTTGTCTATGCACAAGAAGGCACACATTTTGGTATTGAAAAACTGGATTGAAGCTGTGAGTTACTCTTTCTGCTTGCCATCTTAGAGTTTTTTAAGTTTAGCTTATTCTCGTGGTGATTAGTAAGGTGTCTGATGGCTAGACTTCATTCTCATCTTCCTCATGGCAGCTTATGAAGTTAACATTGGATAGCTATGTTATTTATGCAGATTGATCAAAGGCATCGTTATGGGAACAATTTACAACTATACTATAAAGAGTGGTTTAAAAGCTCCACCAATCAGCATTTCTTTTTCTGGTGAGAGAAGTCCTTAAAATAGAGCAACATAAAAATGTTTGGTACATGAAGCCATGATCTGATATATATCTATCTAAACATACTTGGATAGATATTAATTAATCTTGATTTGTAATCAAAGAAAGATAATGGAAATGGCCAATCTCAATCCTGCTCGAGGAAACCTTTGCATACCTCCCTAAATGGAGGCCTACTCCCCATAGAAACTACCTAAGAGTGTCCTCGGTCACGTAGTGGTATCAAATGAGCCACATCAAGTTATAATTTGAGAGACTTTTTGCAGTCTAACTTGAAGGAGTTGATCAGTTTGTTTCTGCCTCTACTTATATTGTCAAAAAAGAAAAAGAAAATGAAAATACACTTCGTTTATGAATTGGTAATCTTCTTTGTGGATTGTGCTTTTCATTTATTTTATTTTGAACAAGTGTGCAATTGCTTCCATATTATCTAAAGTCACAAACACATTAATTGAAACTCGAACATATCTACTTTTTAATAGGTTGGATTATGGAGATGGCAAAGAGGTTGATCTTGAAGAGTGCCCTAGATCAAAGCTCGATCAACAATGTGTCAAGTATTTTGGACCGGTATGCGATCAAAATTGCATTATCTTTTGCAATAGATTTTCTCTTCTACATTTATTGCATGTTTGAATGAATGGTATAAAAAGTTGGAGGTAAAATCTTATTTATTATGTTGTCACATCAAGCATGATGTATCTCGTTTCAGTTTTTCCTATTTCGTGTTACTAATTGCTTGTGATAATACTTATTATTCATTTAATCAATAACATGCAATCTAGTAGTTTGCTAATATGTCATTCTATTCTAACCCATGCAACATTTTAGGCAGGGTTTCTTAGTTTGTTATTCTTCTTTAATATGATCAGCAAGAGAGAGAATATTACGAATATGTGGTCGTCGATGGAAAAATACTATGCAATATAAGCAGAATTCCTCTTCACCATGTATCTCCACGGTCGAAATATATCTTCGTAGTGAGCACATCTAAGAAACTCTACATTGGAGAGGTAATGTCTAAAAAACTAGAATTACATGTGATGATTTTTTAAGGTCTCTCGCTTTCTACGTTGAAACATCTATATTCTAACACCATTCAGAAAGAGAAAGGAATTTTTCATCATTCCAGCTTTCTTGCGGGAGAAGCTATTCTAACTGCTGGGAGACTCTTGGTAGAAGATGGAGTGCTTAAGGTAAATTCCGGATAGTCCCTTCCTTTAATTTCTTTCTAAAATGTAGATTACTATTATCATGTCCTAAAGTGTGTCAAAATAGGCAATGTCCTTGGAATAAAACTATTTGAACAATCTTCGTTGACAATTCATATGCTGTCAAGATTTGTGCTATTGATTTAAAAAATAAATAAATAAAATTAAAATGAATGGTTGTCAACAAAATTGTCAGCCATGATTGTATATGTAACGTCTCATGTCCTTAAAGGTGGTAACATTGATCTACAAATGCATTACACTGGCTTTAAGGATTGCTTTAACAGGGAAAATGTGATGAACAAATGTGAATATCTTTAGATTTATTGCACTCGTGGTCCCAAACTTTTTAAATATTTGCACGTTTTATTCTCATTTTTAATTTATAGCACTCATGATGCCAAATCTTTTAAGTGCGTGCTGCTGGAGGACAAATATATGATATCTATCTGTCCCCAGGGCACATCTTCAAATGGTAAAAGGGGAGGGTGGAGAAATCCAGCTTTGCTTGAGGCTGCTGCGTCAAGGGTTCAAATTCTGAAATATGGATTTGACTCTTGGGTAAGTGCAAGTGTACAAGCAACCTTCCACCCTGTATCCTTGGAGGCATAACCTGCGATTTACCTCCCTCACGATGCTTCAGGGCAGGGGTCGTGGGGGACCCTTAAGGTTGGGTTTAACCTTTTTTTTTTTTTTTTTTTTTTTTAATGATATCTATCTAAATTTTCATCCGTTGACCCAGAAAAAATAAATCTGACTTTTTTCTGACCAATTAGTGAAGGGTAAAATTGTCTATTTCAATTTAACATAAAATAGTTGAAATAATTGAATAAGAAAAAAAATGAATAAAAGAAAAGCTTCATCTTCTTCGCCACAAATTTGGCATCACCATCTTCTTCCCTATCCCTCCATCTTCGCCACCACACGTCGTCAACAACAAGGTTGTGCACTCGCCTTCTCCTACCATCCATCTCAAAACCAAACGTCGATCCAAACCTTCAAAACAAATCTGAACCTTAAAATCCATATACAGATAAAAACCATACACAGAAGTACGAACATCTACCAAATTCCGTGTCAAACTATATGGTATCAAACGGAATCAATCGTCAATTTAGTTTTCTGAAAGAAGCAACCCTAAGTCTCAAGACCCAGAAAAGGAATCAGATTCTGAAATTTACGCCAAATCTCAAGGAAACCCAAAATATCAAATGGAATCAAATTCTGAAATTTGCACGTTATATTTTTTCATGTTCTGTCTCTTAGATCGGAATTGCAAAAGGGAATTGTGCAGAACATGAATCAAAACTTCCTTGAAAAGAAACTCCATTGCGAAGACGACAATTCGTTCCTATATTTCTTTTTGCCCCTCATATACGGACCTTTTTCAGGGGAGATGTTATATGTCAGATTTGTTTGGTGCAGGTGGCGCCGGTGGATTTGGTTGAGGTTGGTGGCCTGCGGGGGAGTGGGAGGGTGGGGGTGATGAAGCATTTCTTTTTGTTTCTTAATTAATTATTTCAATATTTTATGTTAAATTGGAATAGACAATTTTAGCCCCTATTTTTTTTTTTACCATTATTTTAAAATTTTTATTTTTATTTTTTCTCAAACTCATTTTCAATTATACATTCTCATAATAAAAAATTTTACATATAAACTCAAAATTTTTCATACTTTTAAGTTTTTTAACTACACATTCTTCAAAAATTCAATATTCATTATTTTTTATTAATTTTAATAGTAGACAACCACTTAATTGGTCAAAAAAGATCAATTTTTTTCTTTTTTTATTTGGATGACCACAGCTGCAATAAATGAAAGGTTATGATAAAACTCACAAATATCTGGGACAGAGGTTGCAATTATTACGTAATTAAATGATTATTACATTAAGGCCCCATTTGGTATTCATTTTTTTTTCAAAATACATTTTTTCTCTTTTTTCTTTTCAACTACACATTCTTTTCCCATCAATTTACTATTTAAAAATATATTTTTACATAAAAATGTTTCCCAAACACCCTCTTAGTCTTGTTTTGAACCCCCTCGCCCCCCCTCCTCGCTCTGGAAGCCGATTTAAGATGAGGAATCCCGCCCCGTTTGAGGCGGGTCCTCACGGAGATTGGATTTATTTGTAATTTTTACCATTCCTAGTTTTAATTTCTAACGCCAGAAATGAGGGCAATTCTTTTAAAATAATGTACAAAAACTATAAATGATTCTTGGTCTGATTACTTTGATATTACAAAGAAAAAGGAAATTGATAAATTGGCATGTAGTTACACTTATCTCATATACTGTTAAGGGGTTGGGACTGACTATGGAATGAAGTAGAGGAAATTTACCATGCTAAGTCGATTCCAAATAAGGTGTGTACCTGTTAAAATAATTCTTTAGTTTGAAGTTAGATCTGAGTCTTGATGTTGTGGTGAACTTAGATAAGTGTAATCAATTCGTCCATGATCTAGCCAACAATAATGAGGATATTTGATAATTAGTTGACTATGGTTTCGCTGGATTCAACGAGAATGTGAAAAATACTATTGAATATGGTAAAAATGAGTTGACTATCAATATAATTATAAGTGCCCTTAGAAATAAGGAGTTGGAACTAAAAAGTGAAACAAAAGAAAGTGTCAATGGATAACTTACTAGCAAAAAGGAAAGAGTGAAAGATGCTATTGGATAAGGAATAGTCAAGTTGATAATCACAAGTGAAGTGCCCTTAGAAATGAGGAGTTGGACTAAATAGTGAAACAAGAGAGAGTGTCACTCGAGACAACTTACCAGCAAAAGGCAAGAGTAGCCCTAAAAAATGGTTATTCTAATAACATGGAATGGAATAGGAAAAAAGGACTATAAGGGCCAAACTAAGTGAAATATTAGGTGTTCTTAAAAAAAAAAAGGGTTGAGGCTACTTTATTTTATAATGAAGATGACAAATAGATGTAACCTATGTTGCAACAAGAAGTCAACCTAGTCAAAATGTATTCTTTATACAGGCTATACTTTTCACATGTGTCCTATAAAAGAAAAATTCATCTACTCAGATAAAAGCAGTTGATAGAATTTAAAAATAGGTGTTGCGTGTCAGCACCTGTGTGGCTCTTTTTCTTTTTTTCTTTTTGACTGTCCAATGAATGTTTGACAAGTGTCCCTTGTTTTTAAATCCTATCAAATACCCTATTTGTGTAGCAAAATTCATAAAAGAATGGTTAGTTGATTTTGAGAGATTAAATGGTGGTCAAGACATAATGAGAAATCATGTCTTGTCAAATGAATGAAATAGGTACTATAATCTTAACATTATCTAAAACTATTGATTTAGTTCGGCGTGAAACAAGGCATGTACTTGATTTGCAAAGAAATCTAATTTCATTATAGGCAATCTATATACGATTTCCCCTGTAACATTAATGGAACGTATGTATTAAAATATTAATTTAAGAAAAATAGACTTAGTGCTGGCCTAACCATAAGTTTCACTACATCGACTATCTCAAATCCTAAGATAAGTCACAATTGTGGTACAAATGTGTGGGCCACATTAGTGACAAAGGCCTTCAACAACATCCATTAGATACTTTATGTGGATTGTAGATGAGTATTGAGATACAATATACTGTTGTCACAGATGGGGTTAAGGAAGGAATTTGATTTCATGGAGTATCAATTGAACTACGAAGGATGGAAGTGAATTGAACTGTGATTTTGCTAAATACTTTTTTGATCTAATGTAACCTCTTTACTTTTTTTAGCGCATCTCACCTTCCAGTGGACATTATAAGCCAACTGAGGATAGCCTCGAACGGTTTCTATCGATTCTCAAGGAAAACGGAGTCAACCTTGACGAAGTGCAGGTGCATCATCTGCCTAATTTTATTTATTTATTTATTTATTTATTGTGCTTTTCAGCTAATAGTGTTGTTGTCTCATATCTTAACAGATCCGGAAGGCAGGCGAAGACTTTTGGGGTCCTTAAGTCTATATTTGCCTCCGAAATTGCTGAAGTATACCTACATAAAAGAATGAGGCCTTTTCCTATACAATAATAGGTCTCATCTAATTGAATGGGGGATCGAATGGGTTCATAAAGAGAACATACATATATTTATATGTAATAATGGTGTGTAACTTGAGACTGTACCAGAATCATCTGTGAAGAATTGAAGAGAAATGTGTGACTCGTGTGTATTAGAATCATCTGTAGAATGGAGAAGTGAAGATAAATCTATGTAATAATGGTGTGTGACTTGAGTGTGCCAAGAATTATCTGCAGAATGGAGAATTGAAGAGATATATATGTAACAAAGGTGTGTGACTTGAGTGTGCCAGAATCATCTGTAGAATGTGGAATTGAAGAGAAATATATGTAACAAGGGTTTGTAGAGTTTACCATAAGCATCTGTAGAATACTCTAATAAGCACTTTTGCTCGCTCGGGGATGGGTTTATCTCCACTTTATTCCTCCATTAATAGAGTTTGACGGCTTCTACACCCATCAAAATTTAGATTTACATCAGAGAAGACGGAACTGACTTGTTTTCATCAGAAACAAATGTAACAAAGAATTGACTCTAGGCAAGTAGTAAAAAAATACGTTATGATCAATTGCAACCTCACTGGGGACTCCTCTCGAGTTAGACGAAGCCAAGGATCGTCTCTTTCGTCCTTGTATGCATCCATTTTTGGTCGCGATTGATCTGTCAAAGTCTAAAATGGAAAAAGTCCGGACTGGAGAAATATTTTTTTGAGAATAATCCACTCCGTTGTTCTCATTGGGCACAATATTGATCGAGTGTACCGTTCTTCACTGTATGGGCAAGAAGGATAAAACTGAAAAGGAGGAAAACGTCGCTGAAATAGGCAGGAATTTATAGGACGGGGGAAGATTTGCATGGAAATGATTACGTCAACACTGAAAAATTGAATGCAGTTTCCGGTCTTGATGTTACTGGGTCGGGTCAAATGGGTGATGGTACTGGGTTGGATCATGATCTTTAATTGGAGCAGATTTTAAGTGAAAGGCTGCATTCCTGGAGTGCGAAGAGAACTTGGGCTCAAATGGGTTAACAGGATTGGGCGCATTAATTTTTGTAAATAAAATTTGTACTAGCACGTGCACTTAACCGTGCATCATTTTCAATATACAGTGTTACATACTTCTAGTTGGATTTGACATTCCCGTTTGATCCCATACAATTAAATTTTATTTTTTTCTTCTATTTTTAATCACATAATCTTTCATAAAATGATATTAGACGTAAATCGAAAATTTTCCTTCTTTTTTCAACCATCCATTCTCTAAAAAAATAATCTTCCCACCCATTTTACTTTGAAATAATGGATGCCAAAACGGGGGCTTAAAACAACGTGTACTTTAATTTTGACGAGAAATATGAATAAGAGCTTTTTTTTGTAACTAACATTTTGATGAAAAAATAAAGTCAAAGATAATAATTAATTATATACTTTATGGAATTTAAAATTTTAATTACATATACTATCTTTGTCTTTTTTTGTCTTTTTTTGTCTTTTTTTGTTTTTTATCAAAATTTAGTAAAATCTTAGTTTTAAATATGTCAAAAAGGGCTTAAAATTAGGGGGGGGGGGGGGGG